TGACCAACGCCTGACAACTTCTGAATAGGGCAAGTGGCCAGTGTCACGTGACTGGGTGGCTGAATCATGGGCGCTTGGTGGTCATGTGGTAGACACAGTCATGTCCGTGATGTATGTGGCAGCATTGTGCTGTTTGTCCAAGTATCCACGTTGCAAGACCAATATGAAGGTTGGCGTCTGAACAACCACTCAAATGAGGACTTTAATGGTGCAAAAAGAAAGGTGCCACTTAATACTGTGACATATGATCATGTACATCTCTTTGATCAGTCCTCCTTCACGCGCAATGTGTGCAGGATCGCGCTCTCGGAGAGTGCCTCAGGTGACGTGCGCAGCGATGCCATGAGGGTGCACAGGTTGAATGCGTGCTCACGAAAGTTGATCTTGAGCCGGAGAGGAACAAGTCTGCGTCGCACGAGACTTCGTGAGTGCAAGGAATCGCTTAGAGAAGGAGATGCATACGAGGCTGCTAGTCGGACAAGCTCTTGATGTCTGGTGTAAATTCAACCTCTTCGATGGGTATATGTGCATTGGTAAGCCTCCACGGAGCTTTCAAGGTTGGGAACAGGTAGCGAATAGCCTCAGCAAGCTGGATAGCATCAGCATGGTTGAAGGCATGATCTTCACAAGCGGCCTCGGGCGACCTAGCACCAGCAGAAAAGCTCATTGCCGTCGAGATCAAGCAGACGTTCGTCTTCAGAAACAGCTGCATCGCCATGGTCGCACCGGTCTGCTCTAGACGCATTGCGTGCATTGTGCTTGTCATTTCAAGCTCGATAGCTTTCGCTGGAGTTCCTGACGAGGACTCCTTGGGTCCTGTTGTCTGGGGACAGGCACAGAGGGTGCGAAAAAAAAAGCAGTGACGAGAAAAATGAGGACGAGCAGATAGCGAGATGATGTCGAGACACGATGCTGTACCTTTCGTGCAGCGCGTCTCTTTCCTCGTCCATCTGCTTAGTAAGCAAGCGCAAGCATTCAACCTCAGCGTTCAACGTTCAGTATTCATTCCTCGCACTGGGCTCGAACTTCACTCTAAGAATCAGTACGTTAGCGCACATAGTCCCTTTCTAAGCGATTCCACAACATGAGCCAAAGCTCACTGTGTTTAATGCTTGTCTGTGTGGTCGATAGCGATGGAAGAGTGCAAAGAAAAGTAACCTGGGGATGCAAGTGACACATTTATCTAAATGACGTGTGTCGGAGCTTGAATCTCGGAGCTAGTGATGTCACTTGACGACTTACCGTCTATGGAGAGACACCTTCCTAATTTGTTGTGCACACGAGGCTAATTCAAGACGCTGTGCTGACTTAGAAGACACTGTGACGGCTGAATAATTGCATAAGTGACCACAAAGACAAAGAGCTTAAAGTAATCTCTGGAAAATAGCAGAGGTTTTTTCTGTCATGTAGACGCGTTTCTACAGCTTCATCTTGTTCATGCATTGTATCTGGTTTCAAGTCCAAGTCACTGTCTTGAACCACATTCACAGTGCATCGCTTGATGTGTCTGCGGCAGGGGACAATTAAATGAATTATATTCTGACAGTTGTACATATGTCTGGAATTATATTGTCAATAAATTGACATAAAATATTGGCGATGATTTGCATTTGCATACAACTCCTCATACCTTCCGGTGACTAAATACAATCCATCACCTACATGGTATGTAATTGCTTGGCAATGCAACCGATTGCAAACCTTGTTAAATCCACGCCATCTCGTTTACGGTCACCATCGCACACAATACAATATATTAGTGCGCGCTTTTTGCTGATGCTTCAACCAGGCAACAGCCTACGATACTCAACATCGAACACTCATTTCCTAGCATCGTCCTGTGCGCAATCTCAACGAACGGTATTGCCAGTCAAGGTGAAAGTAACTCGAGATTCGTGCTCGCGACGAACGTTTCCCGGTTTCCCGCACTGCCAACACCTCCGATCAGTAGGACACGGACGGAGAATGCCTGCAGCTGCTAGGCGTTTGGTAGGCCGTTGATTTGCGAGAGCTCCTTTCGTACCTGCCATAGCCAAGAAACCGAGAAGGATCGTCAAGGCGACGCGACATCGATCGGATTGCGTCACAGTCTGTATGAGCTCCGGACGGCACCGTGATGGCCATGCAGATCCTCTCGCATCGCCCCATGAAAGCACTCATCCCAATCAACGGGTACGTCTCTGTGACTTTGCGTGATTCGTTGATGCCTGGAAAGAGACAGATTCCGTCGTGCGAAACGGTGACCCGATCGGCTACCCCGGCTGCGTCAACCTTCTTAGCTTCGCGCACATGTCGAGGGCGAGAGTCTGCTCATGGCGCTCAAGGTGCGTCTTTACGGTCAGCTCATCGTGAGGCCCATGCTAACTTTGGATTCGTGCTGCAGCATACTGCATCGTCGTCAGGAAGCGCCTGCACGTCGGCGTCGCTCGAACCATCGTACGTGCTTCGTGTGCTTGGCGCCGCAGAAGACGTGGCGCATTCGTCACTGCGCTTCGGTATGCACTGGTTCACGACCGAGGCAGAGGTCGACTACGCGATCGAGAAGATTGTTGTGTTTGTGCAGCGGTTGCGGGACATGAGGTGCATGTTCGTGTTATGATCTATCGTTTGGTGGCTGACTTCTGGTGTGCTGATAGCCTGCTGTGACATCAGCACCATCGACTGGGCGCAGCATTGAGCGACCATCGCAGCCTCCACATGCTTTCCATCCTCCTCGCTTCGGCTCACTCATTTCATCCCATACAACTATGTCCTATCCCTGTGCAATCAATGTCCAGGTCCCATTCTCTAATGTCGTTCCCGCGACGAAATATCCGCGGCGCCGTCCGCACCCATCCTAGGGCCTTTCCTTTGCTGTCGTCTCCCGGTATGTCCCATGCCACGTTCAATCACGACAAGCTTTGCAAATATGGCGCAAGCGCCCAGTCTCGGAGACCTCAACTTCCGTATGTTTTCCCATCAAGGAACAAACGGTGAACGTTGCGCATCATTCTGTCCTACATCGTATTCCTGCTGTGAAGACCAACACATGTACATCTGAAGCCTTGGCTACAAGAGTGTACCGAAACCTTTATGAACTCATCAAAACCAAGCACTGCTTGTCGACAAAGAATGCAATCATGTCTTTCGGACGCGGAGATTACCGAGTCCCAAATCAGCGCACACGACGGACACCACTGCACAGTTTGTTTCGCCTAGATCACATAGCCTCCTTGTAGCCGCGGCTGGCGACGCGATCTCCAATATCGGCACCCAGGGGCCCAGAGGCGCTCAGTGGACTTCCTTTTCGCCGGGCGGATTGCTTCTGCACAAATACTGCGATGGATCATCTTCGCTTGAAAGTCGTAGCGCACAAGGCACAGGCAGTTTCTGGTTTGGAACAAGTGCGCTGCTGACTCAAATGACATCGTATTCACCTCGGGCGCGACTGAGTCATATAACATGGCTATCAAGGGTGTTGCGCGGTTCCATAAGGACAAAAAGGAGCGCGTTATCACCACCCTACAGTACGTTTTCGGAGCTAGAGCCGTCCACTGAACTTGGACCCGCTCATTCCGCTCTGTGATGCTTAGGAACACAAATGCGACGCGTCCTCGACTCCTGCCGGAAGCTGCAAGAAGAGGCGTTCGATGTGACTTCCTCCGCCTACAAAGAACGGTATCATCGACCTCGCTGAGATGGAGAAGGCCATTCGGCCAGACACGGCACTGGTTTCCATCATGACCGTGAGCAACGAGACGGGCGTCATCCAGCCGATCAAGGAGATTGGCGCGCTCGTTCGTCGGCATCGTGACGTGCACTTCCATACCCAAGCTGTACGGTCCCAAAGGCATCGGGGCGTGCTACGTCCGCAGGCGGCCTCGTGTACGCTTGGAGGCAACTTTTATAAACGGCGGTGGACAGGAACGTGGGCTGAGGAGTGGGACGCTAGCGACGCCACTAGTCGCGGGTATGGGTGAGGCTGAAAGGATTGCGAAGCAGGAGATGGCGGTGAGTGTAGAGTTCTTGAACGGCCGCGCTGATGAGGCTTTGCACGTACGTTTGTACACTGAGATCAGCGGCAAGGCAGTCTGGACTCGTGCCAGCTGTGCCGGCTGAGCTGAGATGTACCGTGCAGGGGTACTGAGCGTCTCGTCTTCCGCTTTGTTCTTCGACGTCAGATTTTGATACTGATCTATTGTTTGTGTTGTCAGCGAGACCATGCGCACGTGAAGGAACTAACCGAGCGCCTCATCAAGGGGATCAACGCGAAGGTCGAGCACGTCGTGCGAAACGGTGACACGAACGGCTACCCCGGCTGTGTCAACCTTAGCTTCGCGTATGTCGAGGGCGAGTCTCTGCTCATGGTGCTCAAGGTGGGTGCACCTTCATGGTCAGCTCGTCGTGAAATACATGCTAACTTCGGGTTCGTGCTGCAGGATATCGCATTGTCGTCAGGAAGCGCGTGCACGTCGGCGTCGCTCGAGCCATCATACGTGCTTCGCGCGCTCGGCGCTGCGGAAGACGTGGCGCACTCGTCGCTGCGCTTCGGTATGGGCCGGTTCACGACCGAGGTGGAGGTGGAGTACGTGGTTGAGAAGATCGTTGCCGTTGTGCAGCGGTTGCGGGACATGAGGTGCGTGCTCATGTTACCATCTATCATTTGATGACTGGTAGCTGGTTTCTGGTGACCTTGAAAGCCCGCTGAGGGAGATGGTCCAGGATGGCGTCGACATCAGCACCATCGACTGGGGACAGCATTGAACGACCATCCCAGTCGCCATCCTCTTCGCCTCGCCTCGCTCATTGCATTTGATACAACTATTTCTCAACCCTGTGCAGTCAGTGTTCAGGTCCTGTTCTCTAGTGTCGCTCGCACGACGAAATATCCGCGGCACCGTCCGCACCCATCCTAGGGCCTCTCATTTGCTGTCATCTCCCGATATGTCTCGTGCCATGTGTCGTATGTCCTGCGACGGTGACGAACATTCGGTGTAATTGTGGTTCGTAGTTAGTACGTGTACTGTGGATTTATATAAGCTTTTGTGAATGACCGACCATTGATCGGAGATATCTGAGTGAGCGAAAGGTTGGTCTGTCATTTCCCTTGAAGTAGGATAATTGGCGGTGCTCTTGGTGCTTTAAATGCGAGTCCGCTAATGATTTTCCTCGGGATGCGAGCTGCAGTCACTGTAACCAACTATCAATGAGGAGGTAACGTGATGATTATGGCCACCAATCACAGCGCGTTTTGAAGATATGGCGCAAGCACCTCTGTATTTTCTTTCGCCGAATGTGTGTTGCACATTCTTCTCCCTTTAGTGACTGTATTTCTGCTTTGAACGTCAACACATGTGCGTTTTGGCCACAAGAGCGTAACGGAACTTTGATGAACTCATCAAAGTCAAGCACCGCCGCGTCGATAAACATTCAACCTCAAATCAGTGCCTGCGACGAGAAAAATATCAATGGACAGCATTGAAGGACTGTTTCAGCCTAGATCATACACGGCTGTGCAGCCTCCTTGTAGCCGCAGCTGGCGACACGATCACCTATCAGCACCCCAAGGGCCCCAGGTGCGCTGGCAACGCGTCTTCCTTTTGACGCGGTGGATCGCTTCTGCGCAAGTGCTGCGATAAACCATCTTCGCTTGACGATCGTAGCGCCCAGGGCACAGGCAGCTACTGGTCTGGAACGAGTGCGCTGGCTCAATTCGTATCATATAGATCCCAATCCATCTATGGGAATATAGTTACGTATTCCTAGCGTTTCAGGAGCTTTCAAATAGTATGCCAACATGATCCCCGCTCACTGGATGCGATGGTTTCGATAGAGCCGGCATGTTCGATGTGAGTAGCAGATGCTAAGAATATTGTCCGAGGTGAAAATTTACGAGGGCTGTAGACATATAGGAACGAGTGACTCAGCCTCGATGTATGATGCGAGTGCTATATAAATACCTGTAGACACATAGGAACGAGTGACTACAGTGTATAAGTAAAAGCATGTAAGGAATCCAGTAGGTACTTACCTCAGCCTCGATGTATGATGCGAGTGCTGAGGTAGCAGGAAAAGATCGAGCGCGCTTGTGGCTATATGATTACATAAGCGAATGCGCGCAGAATGTCTAAGTCCGTGTCCCACTGGACATAAAGTCCGTATGACTTCCAACACGCCCACTCAGTGGGAATGCGGACCTACTCTTAGAACACTAATTGAATCCTTCATGCTGCTTGTGCTGTGCGTGACCGACGGTCTTCGGAAAATACTGTGGCTTGCACGGATTGGATGGTAAGTGCCTGTGGCGTAGGGTTTCTTGAGTCCATCTGGGCGGATAGAACCCGGGCTGCTGTACGCTGTCTGCACCGTGTGACTTCACCTGGATCGTGCCCGATTGCGGTGCGTGGATGGTCGTACTCGTCGTTGAGTGTGGCCTTGACGAACGGGATAAGTTCTTCCGTTGTCGCTAATATCCGTTGATCCGCGTCTGACGTTGATTCTTCGAGGTTCTTCGTCAACTGAGTGACCCGTAGCGCCCGCGCGAATCTTGTCGCGTTCGACTGCGCCCACTTGACGCGCGTTCTTCCCTCCTCTCTTTGGCTGTTTCCCTTCGCTTCTGGTTCTCTGCTGGACTTCTGGAGTCTCTACTTCCCGCTTCGTCTTGGCTCCGAGGCCTCCTGGAACTGTCTTGGGCTTGTATGCGCCAACAGAGGACCACGGATCGTCATCGCGAATCGGCGCTGGACGCGCGCATGCGGATTGACGGACATGGCTCTTTGCAGCCTTTGGAGCGGGAGCAGGAGGGGCTGCGCGTTGAGTCCGAGTGCGAGAGAGGGATGCTGTAGCCTCTGAGATGGCAGGTAAGTGCTCCTTCTCATTTTCGCGCTGAGGCGGAGAAGGAGGCGAGCGGTTTGACGCGGTCTGGCGTGGCAAC